CATGGGCAGCCAGCGTCTGCCCCCCACCAGCCCCTCTTTCTACCACCCAGCTGTCCCAGAGGGCTCTGCTCGGTGACAGGGCAGTGGCACATGTCTCTGCCACCAGGTCTGTCCAGAAGTGTAATGAATGTTGTGTCATTAGGCTCCTCAGAACACAGCGAGGAAGCCAAGCCTGTCAGCCTCTTCTGCCTTTCTGTCTATCTTGATGTGTCTGCCTCTCTGTGTCAGTCAGGATCCTAAGGGATAGAACTAATGAGTGAATATGTAACATATATTATATACGCACATAGATGTAGACACATTCAGTAGTGTGGCTTATGGGCTGTGGTCCAGGTGACCCTCGTCCAGCAGTGGTTGTCTCTGGTAGTTGCTCAGTCCACGAGGCGGATGTCTCAGCAGTCCCAATCCAGCGCTGGAGTCTGGAGGATTCTAGGGAACTGCTGGCCTTCAGTCTGCACTGGGATCCTGACCCTCCTAACACGGTGAAGGAATGTCTCAGCTGCAGGGTAGATGCAGAAGAGTGAGGGAGCCGGCAAAGAGCAAACGCGTTCTCCTTCCATCCTTGTATGTGGGCCGCTACCAGAAGGGGTCAGGGTAGCGTTAGTCAATCGAATCCCCGTGGGTGTGCCCGGTGCTTGGGTCAGCTGTCCCGAGTGTGACCCAGCTCTGTCTGTAGTGCCTCTCCCTCTCATTGTCTCTGCCCTCCTGTGGTCTCAACCCTATTTGTCCCAACACATTTGGCAACATAGTGGCTAACTGTTACCTCTCATGGCAGATGGTCAATCCATCCTGTGGGTGAGCATTTATTGAGCACTTGCTGTATGTGTCCTGCACACTGTCCCCAAGATGCCTGTGGAGGTGCCCACCCTCATGCCTGTGCCTGTCCACAGAAGGTTGGACCCAGGAGACTCTGTTAAAACCACTGGTTGTAGTCTTGCCCCGCCCCCCAGACTTGTCACCTGCCTCCCCCTCCCCCTCCTCCCCAGGCTGTGAATAGCCTTGAATTCCATAGAACAAGGAGCCAGACCTGACCCAAGCCTCACAGTGGGGCAGAGGGAACATGGAGAATGCTTAAGTGAGGGTCCTGAGCTGGGATGTCTCCCTGGGATCCTCAGAGGGAGGCAGGACGGTGTGAATCCGGGATCCCGGGAGATGCCATGCTGTGGGCTCTGAACAGGGAGGGGGGCTGCGAGTCCCCTGGAGATGCTGGGCTGGCAGGGTGTGGTGCCAGCCCCTCCCACCCGGGCGTAGCGCTTCTGCCTTGCTGGCAGCAAGCCTCTGTGCTCTAGACACCCCAGCCCTCACATGGCCTCTGAGCTACCTGTGGGCGTGTTCACTGTCGCTGTGTGAGCCAGGAGTTGGACAGAAAACCCAGCCCTGCTGGAGCCAGCAGAGAAGAAGCCCTCAGGCCCCTGGGAACTAAGCACGAGCCCCTGAATTTCCTGGTAGAAGAAGCAAAAAGAAAAGAGATGAGCCATGTGACTTAGCCCCCTCTGGGGAGAAATTCCTCCTGTCGTCCCCGAACTCAGGGAGCCAGGCAGGACGACAGAGAGTCTGGGGTGCTCCTGGGCTACACCTCGAGATTCTGTCTCAAAGCAAGAAGAAAACTACAGAAACGCAGAGTTTGGTCTGCCGTTCTGTCTGTCCCTTCCTCGTGGGTAGGAGCCTGCTCTGCTCAGGGCACTTGGCAGTGGCCTCTGCTGTCTTCTGCTCAGGCTCCTCCTCCAGTGGGGTCATGTCCCATGAGGCTGCACACCTTCCACACCTGGGGCCCCAGTGGCTGCCGACTGGACCTTCCCATCATGCAGTGTCACTCAGGCTCCCAGAGTGTCTGCAGTTCCTGACCCTGCCTCTTGCAGCCCTGCCTTCCTTTACAGCCGGCCCCAGCCCTCAGCCACCCGCTTCTACGAGGAGAGGGCCCTGTGCATCCCTGCTCTGCCTTCCATCACCAGGTGCCATGGAGCCCCCACCCCATGGGCTCTGATATCCCTGCCCCGTGACCGGAACAAGTCCACAAACCCCTGTGGGGATAGCCCACCCTGGGCTGTGCAGGTGCGTGGGTGCTCAACGCCTGGTTTTGTCTCCATTCTTCAGTTGGTTTTTTTGTTGTTGTTTGTTTTTTTAAAGTTGAGACATCACGTGACTCGAAAGCTACCATGTCACCCATCTCATGAACTACCACCTCCCTCTCTCAGTCCCCAGCACCCAAGAATCCTTTTCCCGTCTTTGGATGCTCCCGCTCTGGGCATTTCCTGTTGTGGAGTCCCCACACTGTGTGGCCTTCTGCGTCTGGGTCCCTCCACACTGTGACTGTGTCATTCCCTCCACGCTGAACAATGCCCCACATGTGTGTTGTCTGCTCATCTGCAGAACTTGTTTACCCGCTCGACACAGTTTCCATGGGGACTTGTCCCGGTGGTTCTCGGCGGGTGCAGACCAGAAGTGGAAGTGTGGGCAAAGGTCACCTCCCCTGTAAGCTGTAGCTGAAGGAAGCTCCTGTTTGGGGGGATAGACGGGTTGACTGTTTCCTGGGAAGAGCAAAGTCTGACTCAAATGAGAGTGAGGGGTGTTTGTTTTGTTTTTGTTTTTTTAGACCAGGCTGTCCTGGAACTCTCTCTGTAGACCAAGCTGGCTTCAAACTCACAGAGATCCACCTGCCTCCGCCCCTCAGTGCTGGGATTAATGGCGTGCGCAGCTGCCACCACCGCACAGCTGTGAGGGCTGCTTGAGGCAAAGGGAAGTGACTGCTATCCAGCCACTCACCCTTCTGCAGGCTCCTTAGGCCTCTCCTGGCCTGTGCCCCTCCTGGAGTGCCCTGGGGTCCTTAACTTTCCAGGGACCACCAATCCCTGCATCTCCTTTGAGGCTCCTGGTGTGGGTGCAGAGCCGTACAGACCCCTCATTTTTAGCCCTGTACAGTGAGCACGGAGTCCTGTGTGTACAGGTAGGCCTGCACCCCAGGCCCCCCACTTTCCCTCCAAGACTGTGTGTCCTGTAACATGCGGGTTGCTGGGAAGCTAGATGAGCTCACTCTCAGGAAGGAGCCTCCCGCCTCCCGCCTCCCCCGCCCTGCACGGTGGCCACATCGACTGCTCTGTGAATGCTCGTCGGGATCAGAGGTCTGGCCACTGGCTGCCCAGCAGTTACCGGCATCAGGGAAAGGAGAGCAGAGAGGGGTGCTTGCTTGCGGGAAGCCACACTGGCTGCTGCCACTTGTCGTGAAGTGGGCTTGGGGAGGGCTGCACAGCGGGACCCACAGCACTGTGGCCCGGGCTGCGCCAGCCTGTGAGCCATGGGGAGAGGCGGGGAGTGGGCAGGGCCTGAGGAACTGCAGCCAAACCTCTGAGCCTGGCTTGCCCAGCTGGGGAGCCTAGCGTGAGGCCAGCATGTGCAGCCCCTCTGGTCACTTCCACCATCCCAGTTACCTAGATACCCTGAGCCTGTGTCACAGCTCCTCCATGTGTCTGCCCCTCTGTCTGATAGAGTAAAGCTAACCCCGACCCTGCTGGGCTGTGTTGCTAGAGGCCAGGCCCCGATGCAGGCTGCCCTAACAGGAGTGGGGTTTTTGTTTGTTTATTTAGTTAGTTCTATTTTATGTGTGCATTTGTCTGTGAGGTGTCAGAACTGGAGTTACAGACAGTTGTGAACTGCCATGTGGGTGCTGGGAAATAACCCTGTCCTCTGGAAGAGCTGCCAGTCTTTTAAATTTAATTTTATTGTTTCAGTTTTTTGAGATAAGATCTCATGTAGCCCAGGCTAGCCCTGCACTCCCTATGTAGCTGAGAATGACCTTGAACTCCTGACCTTCCTTCCTCCACCTGCCACACCTGACTCATGTGGTGTCTGGAGTGTGACCCTGGACTCTGTTGCCCACCATGCACTCTGCCTCCAAGTGCCGACACTGAAGACGCAGGTCACCAGGCCCAACTTACTTCATTTTTTAAAGTATTTGTTTGTATTTCATTCGCATTGGTGTGTGTCTGTTTGAGGGCATCGGATACCCTGGAACTGGAGTTACAGACAGTTGTGAGCTGCCACGTGGGTGCTGGGAATTGAACCTGGGTCCTCTGGAAGAGCAGCCAGTGTTCTTAGGGGCTGAGCCATCTCTCCAGCCCCCTTGTTTCATTTTCTTAAAGACAAAAGTTTCATTGTGTAGTTCAGGCTGGACTTGACCTCATGATAGTGCTCCTGCCTCAGCCTCCATCCTGAGAGCTGGGGTCACAGCTTGAGCCTCCCTGTGACATGGACAGTGGCTCCTAAGCGGCTGGGATGACCTGCAGGCTGCCTGCAGCGTCCACGCCAACCCTGCCACCCCCTCCTGGCCGTCAGCAAACTTCACACCACTGTGCTTTGTGCTGTGGCCTGGCCCTTCTGTCAGGATCCCTCTTCACCCTGTCCCCAGCTGTCCCTCCTCCCAGGCTAACTGGTCCCAGCTACTCTGTCCCCTGGCCTTGAGTCCTCCTGGCCCCTAGAGACCCCTTGCCTGGCTTCCAGGGGCTATGAGTGCTCTCTCCTCATGACCACCCAACTGTGACCCCGGGGAGCGCCCTCAGGCCCTGCACCCTCAGGCTTGGCTTCCCTCTGTCCCTGTCCTCCCGAGCCTCCCCAGCATGTACGCATGTGCACATACAGACACATATACACAGGCACGTAGACACACAAACCACACACACACACACACACACACACACACACACACACACACACAGACACACCATACACACAGATACAGACACACACACACACATATATACAAGGTTTCTTCTCTCTGTCACCTTGGCTGTCCTGGAACTCACTATATAGACCAGGGTGGCCTCGTATTCAAGATCCACCTGTCTCTGCTTCCCCAAGTGGGAGGATTAAAGGTGTATGCCACCACATCTGGCCAACAGGTATTTTTATTTATTTTTATTTTTCGAGGCAGGGTTTCTCTGTGGCTTTGGAGACTGTCCTGGAACTCGCTCTATAGACCAGGCTGGCCTCGAACTCACAGAGATAGATCCGCCTGCCTCTGCCTCCCGAGTGCTGGTATTAAAGGTGTGCGCCGCCACCACCCAGCACCCAACAGGTCTTTTTAAATCAGGAGTCACACAGCTCTACAGACTACGCTAACCACCCATGGGAGGATCAGGTTAGCCTTGACTGCATAGAGTGTATTTCCAGACACAGGCAGCCCTCACCTCTATCCAATTCTAGAACATTCTGTCTCCTCAAAGGAAAGTGTATCTGCATGAGAGTTTATTCCATCTCATTCCCAGCCCTTGGATCCCCACACCAAGTACGCTATTGTGTCTGGTTCTCACTGAGCCCCGTGTCCTCAAGGTTCTGCCACGCGGTTTCACACTGGCGTCTCTCCTGTTCGTGGCTGTGTAGTATTCCTGCCTGTGGACGAAGTGTGCTGTGTGCGTTGGTGGACAACCACTGTCCAACCCTTCATGTACTGTGACTCGCTGCTGTGGGCGCTCCTAGTTTCCCCACGAGTGTCTGGAAATGTGTTTGTGGAGTCAACTCTAGGCCAGCGTTTGCCACTGAGCGACTAAGAAGTTGGCTGACTGCTTCCCCAGAGTCCTGAGGCTTCAGCTCCCCACACCAGCGTCAGCACGGGCCATTGTTGGCTTTTGAGTCTGGCTATCTTTGGATACGTTTATTGAGATAGGCTCCTGCGGTGTAGCCAAGGGTGTTCTCACAATCCTCCTGTCTCAGCCTCAAGGGTGACTGGAATTAGTGCCTGCTCGGTGCCTGCTCAGTCTACTGCAGTACAGTACGGGGCTCCTGGGTAGGGCTGATGCTGCCGGGGTTGACGAGGGCTGCCCGGGGACGTGGGTTTGCTCTGGGGCCTCTGTCCTGCGTGGCCAATGGTGTGAGGATCTATGGGAACCCTGTGGCCCTGTGGTCCTGACAAGATGGCCAGGGCTCTTTGTCCCTGGATGGGATCCTGCTGGCCTGGGCTCCTCAGCCTCCTTCCCAGGAGCTGACACTGTCAGGAGAGGCCCCAGTGCCCAGGGCACTCGTAAATGACTACAGCCCTGTGGGGATCACACCTCTGTGCCCACATTGGAAGTGTCCTCTCTCTCTCCCTCACAGTCCCTGACACCCCAGCTCCCTCAGGGACACCAGGAATGAGCACTGGTGGCCGTGGGGTGAGGACTCTTGAGAACATGGTGTGATGTAGGGCTGGGGAGCCCTAGCTCGGCTAAAAGGAGGGACAGAGGGACTTAGACCTCAGTTCCCTTAGCCCAGTCCCCTCCAGCCCCTCATCCTTTGTCATCCTTGGTGGGGTGGGGGGCAGAGCAGAGCTCAGTGCTTCAGTAATCCTGGGGAAACTGAGGCTTTCTCTGCCCCCATGGGAGGAGTGGGGCAGAGCAGGCGCTGAACCCGGCAGGGTGCGCCGTTGTTGACAGCCCTTCTGGACCGATCCGCCCCCTACAGTAATTCTCCGCACTCTGCCAGTAACTGCCCTGACTTACCAGGCAGGCATCATTTCCTGAAACTCAGCCCAGCCTTAGGGGAAGTCGGGAGCCGGTGACTAACCCTCATGCAAATGGGGCCGGCAGGATCGCTGCTGCCTCCGTGCCCCACGGAGCTGCTGAGCCTGCGGCCACCGTGGTCATGAGTGGTGCGCTCAGGCAGCTCTTCCAGGGGGACACAGCGGCCACTGCCCCACACCCCGACCATGTCGCAGCTGCGCTTCTGGCTGCAGTTCGCCTCACTCAACAAGGTAACCGGCCAGGGACTCGCAGAGCCACCTGTGGCGCCCCTTGCGCTCCCACAGGTGGCAGAGCTGTGGCGCTGGGTGCCCCCAGCCCTGCCCACTCTGTCCTTTTCTTGGCAAGTCACGGTGAACATACCAGAGTTTCTTAAGCCAGTGATTTGGGATGCAGGTTAGTAGCCGGCATGGGGGTGGCTGGGGAAGGGAGTTGAGGGTGTCATTGTCAACACCTCTTCCTGGGCTAGGGCAGGACTCAGTCCAGCCAGGTCCAGTGGGGTAGGTAGAGCCGGGAGCCCATTGTTCCTCTGGTCTCCCAGTCTTGAAGGCGTGGGGGCTGGGGGATTTCTGTGGAGTCTTCCTGGGCTGGGGAGGAGTCTGCTCTGTGACCTCAGAGTGGCCTAGGAAGATCTAGGGTTAGCTCCTGCAGGTTCCCCTCCCCCTAGCAGGCCTACCTCAAATGCCACAGCCAGTAACCACAGTGGGGACCCTCCCAACCTCACTTCGTGCCACCCAATAGGTTCATGCTCTTGCCTCTAGAGATATAGCAGGGAGCAGCTACATGGTATAGACTTTGGAGGGGCCTCACTAGGAACCCCATTCTCAGAGCATCCTGCAGGGGAGGCCCAGGGTACCCAAGGGACCGGGCATTCAACTGTGACATTTCTCATGGGGGGGGGGTCGCCAGTGTGGGTTTGTGCAAATTAGCTAGTGACAACTGAGAGCTGGGTCCTGGTGTGTCCTGGGGTATTGGCACTCACAAGTGAGCAGGACCTCGGCACCCCAGAAGCCCTGTGTCCAGATGAAGTATTTATTGTCCCTGAGCCCAGGGTAGCTGGGCTGTAGGGAGGTGGCATCAGGATGTTTGTTCTTTACTGGTTTTGTTGGTAAAAGTTTTAGAGTGGTGTTGAAGGTTCCAGGTGAGGTGCTCGCCTGTCGCCTAGCATTGGAGTTAGAGGTATTGAGGTTGGCGGTTCAAGGCCAGCCGGAGCTACATAGCAAGTTTGAGGTCAGCCCGGGCAATGTGAGACTGAGTTCCAGGTTGGCACGGTGCCCACCTCTGCCCTCGCATTCGGTCCTCATGCTGCCCTTGCACTTCACAGTGAGGGGCTTTCCACTCACACACGCTACCCTTAACTAATGGCCTGTTATGTGTATCTAGTGCCTCAGTTTCCCGCACTTCCTTTCTCTGTCTTCAGGACATCAGCCACCCTGCCCCCTCAGGCTGCCTCCTGGGTTGAGGCCACTGTGGAAGTTACTGGGTTCGCCTCCCCCAGCCATGTCTCCAGAGCCCGTCCCAGGGAAGGTGGGGACAGAACCCGGGTTGCTTGTTGCCATTGGCTTTGCTGTACCTTGGTTTCTCCTCCGGTACGGGCCCTAGTGACCCACTGACTTGCTAGGGCTGTGCGGGAGGGCGTTGGGCACCCTGCTGTCCTGGGTTTCAGTGCTGCCCCACCAGGGTTTAGACTGGATGTTATGCTGGGGACAGGGAGGTGGGACAGGGCGCGGCACATGATGGGAGCCCATGGCACCCTTCTCTTCCCCTGAAAGCAGGCTGCCGCCTCTGCAGTGGGGTCACAGAGCTCTGAGCCCCATAGCAACCCAGGTTCACTCAGGGTTCTCCAGGAAGCTGCCAGGTACCCAACCAGTCACCTCCTCTGGCCTGGGTGAAACCAGATGACCCTGGTCTGCCTCAGCCAGGGGGCTGACACTGCTAGCTGACCCCATACCAAATGGAGAAAGTGGTGGTTCCCTAGGATCTACCCTAGGACCAAGACTCCTGAGTTCAAGGAGACAAGCCCTGGAGAGCAGCCTCAAAGTGGGCTGGGCAGGCTTGGGTCATTCTCTGGGCTCTTTTGTCCCTCCTGACCTTGAAGCCTGGGACCCCTGTTGCCTTGTCACTTCTTCCTGTCTTCAGAGGCACAGTGGGAGACCTCTAATTTGGCTAGCAGGGTCAGGGACAACCCCTGCACCCAGCACAGCCCCATTCTCCTAATAAGCTGCCCTGGCAGACTGCAGCCTGCTGCGGGGGTGTCACTGCCAACGGCCAGGGTGAGAAGGGGCTCCCACAGCGGGTCACCCTGGCTCTGATGCCGCCCCAGGTGGCTTCCTGGCCTCTAGCTGTGCCAAAGAGATGCTCCCCAACGTCCCAGGGCCATGTGTCAGCAGACCCAACCCTCTGGTCTCTGCCGCAGGGCACAGGGAGGCAGGGCAGTTCTGGGATGGCACCCTGGCCTCAATCACTTGTCTGTAAAACCTGCAGGCTGCTTTCAGAGTCTCTCGGTGGAGGCAGTGGCCTGGAGGCTCATGGAGGGAAAAGGATTGGTGTGAATTTGAGGCCAGCTTGGGCTGCAGAGCAAATGGACTCAGGTGTATTGAGTTTGATCCGTATTCCACATACTTCACTCGTTTAAAGTGTACATTTCTGTGGTTTTAATGTATTTGTAGCTGTGTATTTAATGGCTTCTAGAAGGTTCCATCCCATCAGAAGAAATCCCATCCCCTTTTAGCCATCACACCACTCATCCCCTGCCCCGGAACCCCGGAGTCCATTTGTCATCACTGGGTTTTCCTCTTCCAGCATTTGATCATAGAGTCCACACTGGACTTCTGTGTCTGTTTCTCACTGAGCAGCTTTTCCTCAAGGCCATTCCATGTCGTGTGTGGGACTTCACTCCTGTTTGTGGCTGTGTGATACTCCACTGTGTGGCAGAAATCATTGTCACTTGCATGGACTCCCACACAAAGCCAGCCACTGCCTCACCCATGCCTTCTCTTAGGACCCTTCATGCCTCGAGGACCTCTCCAACGCCTCCATCTTCTCCTCCTCTGTGGATTCCCTGTCAGACATCCCCGATACACCTGACTTTGTGCATGTTGACAGCCTCAACGAGGTGTCCACCATCTGGGATGTCAGCACCGCCTCGGCCACCCATGACAAGGTAAACAGAGCCACTCTGCTGACGCGGGTGGAGTAGGGGGCACTGTGGCCTGAGCTCTTCCTCAGGAGTGAAGACAGCAGCAGGCATGCCCAGAGGCTGGAGGGTCAGTCTCCACACCACCACACACCCATGTTCCCAGATGACCCCTGCTGGGCACACAGGCACACCCAACAGAGACACAGTGGTTTGAGCTTATTTTCTTTTGTGTCTTAGTTTCTGAGCTGTAGTCTCACACAGCCCAGACTGGTCTCAACTTTGCTCTCTGGCCAAGGTTGAACTTTAACTCCTGATCTACCCACCTCAGCCTCCTGAATGCCGGTGTGTGTGTGTGTGTGCGTGCGTGCGTGCGTGTGTGGTGTGCCAGCATGTCTGACTCTGAAGGCAATTTAGGTTACCAGTTCTTACCTCAAGAACTCTGCCCTCGCTGGGCGTTGGTGGCGCACGCCTTTAATCCCAGCACTCGGGAGGCAGAGGCAGGTGGATCTCTGTGAGTTCGAGACCAGCCTGGACTACCAAGCGAGTTCCAGGACAGCCTCCAAAGCCACAGAGAAACCCTGTCTTGAAAAACCAAAAAAAAAAACAAAAAAAACAAAAAACTCTGCCCTCAGTGGGCCCCAGAGACATGCTTGACTGTCTTAGCTAGGGACGACCTCATGCTTGACTGTCATAGCCAGGGACGACCTCTGGCCTGGGTAGGTGGTAGTCAGTGACCCTGCTATGCTCCCTGCAGGACCCAGGATGCCTCTCAGGGCTATCCAGGGTGACACTTAGCTGGTGTCTCCCAGGGGACCCTGGCTTCTGGGACTGACCTCTTCTCTCACTGCACACGCTGGATGGGTTTCCACATGGGCAGCACCGCAGAGCTTAGTCAGGTGATTATAGGGTGCTCAGGGTCAGGGTGTGCAGGACACTGACCCAGAAGGCCCTTGTTCAGCAGGTAGTTCCCCCCCCCCCAGGACACTAATGACCTGTATGGTCCCAACCTGGGCAGCCCTTGGCATGGACAGAGCCTCGCCAAGCCTGACATGGTCCCTAATCCTAGTAATGCGAGGAATCCAGTCCAGGCCTTGCTGGGGTCTTCCAGATGGAAGCTTCTAGACTTCGAGAGCATAAGTTAGGAACGCTGTCAGGAGTCTGCAGGTGGGAGACCTTGATGCCCCACAGCTTTGACGTAAGGGCCAGTGGGGCAGTTGTCACAGGGCCAGCACAAGGACAGGCTGCCTCTCCACTCCGTGCTGTGAGGATCCACAAAGGCCTGTGCCTTGCTGAGATCAAGGCCACAGGGTACTGCCCACCCCACCCAGGGCCCCAGGCTGCTGTGGACCAAGCCCCATATCTGAAACCTAACACCCTGCACTGCCCCAGCCCAGCCTGTAGGCCGGAACATGACTCAGCCTTCCAGGAACCTCCACCAGTCTGTTTGGGTTTTTGTTAATTTAAGAAAGAAAGGAAAAAAAAAAAAACAGAAGAAAAAGGCAGAAGGTTGAGTGTGGACTTGTAACCTTCCCAAGCTTCCGCTGGCTTTCAACACCCCTGGCCCTGTTCCCAGAAGAGCAAGGGACATGTGATAGTGACTGTCACTGCAGTGCCCCAGAGACTCCTGTCGTTCCTCAAGGATGCTGAGTCCCCAGTGAGCCCCGCAGGTCAGGGCTGAAGGCCTGCCTGCCATCAGGAGCTGAGACCAGCAAGGCCCCGTCACTGAGCAGTGCCTTGCTCCTCCATCTGCCAATCAGAGGGACCAGGCTCAATGGGCAGAGTGCTCCCTTAGCATGCACAAAGCCCTGGGTCCTGTCCTCTGTGCCACGGGAACCAGGTGTAATCGCAGCACTCGGGGCACAGGCAGGAGGATTGGGGTTTTAGGCTCCTTGGCTGGATAGGAAGTTTGAGGCCAGCCTGGGTTACGTGACTCTTATTTTAAAAAACCAAACAAAAGAGGGGGTGCGCTGGCATTGCAGGCTTTGTCCCCGACGTCTCCGTGGTGGATCACAGCCGTCTCTAACGTAATTTCAGGGGGTCCAGGCCTTCTGGTCTCCATAGGTGCTGCATGCACACAGTGCACCTACATACATGGTGAATAAGTCTTTACATGTATCCATATGTCTGAGAAAGAGTTTGCAAAGGAACCACGTCCCTGCAATGGCTACAGACTCAGCTCATTGGCCAGGCCACACCGTTTGTCCACATGATAGGACGCAGGGCCATCCTTCTGTCCTGTAGAGGAGTGTGGTCACAGTGTTGGGGACACTCCTACCTGATCTCCCAGAGGAGGTCTTCCAGGGACATTCCCCCGGCCTGCGGTGTCCGAGTGTGTACTGGGACTACTTGACTGGCTTTTACCTACTTTTCCTTGGTCCAGAAGCTACTGCCTCACGGTCCCCCTTGTGCCACAGGGCAGTCTGTCCTCAGCCATTCCTCCCAGAGTCTCCAGGCCCCAGGCTGAGGGGGTTGGCCCTGAGAATGCAGCAGCCCCCACCTATGGGTGCAGGCACTGCACAGAATGCTCACACCCTCCCCACAGCTGTTCCTGCCCAGCGGGCCATTCTCGGCTCTGGAAGACACAGTGACGTCACTCTCCAGCACTCCTCTTCTCGTCAGCTACCAGGTAACCGGGTGGCTGGCCGTTTCCTGGGGACGAGACACAGGCCCTGAAGGCATCCCCAGTGTTCTGGGCACCAGGCAGCCTGAATGCTGGGCTGCCCTGCCCATTTTACAGTTGGAAAAACTGAGACCTCTACTTAGGGGTAAAGGTAGAGCCACCTCTGCCCCCAACACTGTGCTGGGCGCACTTTGTATAGCATGGCTGCTGTCCTTGAGGGGAAGTTAGGTCACTGCAAAGCAGGATGGACCCCTGAACTGTCACACCTACAGTCACACAGCCAGCCTGAGGAGGAGGAGGGAGAGGAGGAGGAGGAAGCAGAAGAGCTGGGCCACGCTGAGACCTATGCCGACTACGTACCGTCCAAATGTGAGTTCTGCACTAGGGACAGAAGGGAGACACCCCCTAAGACAACTGTGAACCCCAAGGGCTGGTGGCCCCTTTCCCACATCCATAGTGTGGAGGCATCGGGAGCAGAGTTGTGCGTGCAGGTGGACAGCTGGCATCCTACTGGCCGCTTCGACCCTGCTGCTCTGTGTGCCAGCTGTGCTGTCTGCCCCCTTACCAGCTAAGATCGGGAAGCAGCATCCAGACCGCGTGGTGGAGACCAGCACACTGTCCAGTGTTCCTCCCCCAGACATAACCTACACCCTGGCACTGCCCGCCTCAGACAGCGGGACCCTGTCTGCTCTACAGCTGGAAGCCATCACCTATGCCTGCCAGGTAGCCAGCCCCACCCTGCCCCACCCCACCCAGCCCCTACCAGGCTTGTAAGGAGGGCACCACGCACCCAGACCTGACCTGCCTCTGCTCGCCCACAGCAACATGAGGTCCTGCTGCCCAGTGGGCAGCGTGCTGGCTTCCTGATTGGGGATGGAGCTGGCGTGGGCAAGGGCCGCACAGTGGCTGGCATCATAGTGGAGAACCACCTGCGGGGGCGCAAGAAGGCGTTGTGGTAAGCCCCTGCCTGGCCTAACGGAGCGGGCGGGTGGGACAGGGAGCGGTGCCTGACCAGGCCTCTCCCCAGGTTCAGTGCCTCCAATGACCTCAAGTATGACGCAGAACGGGACCTAAGAGACATTGAGGCCCCAGGCATTGCAGTGCATGCACTGAGCAAGGTAGGCAGGCCACGGGGAGTCAGCTGAGTCCACCCTCTGTACTACGGGAGACGCTGAGGGAGGGGAGTCCCTGCATGCATCCCCATGTCTGAACCTGTGTCTGCAGATCAAGTACGGTGACAACACTACCTCAGAGGGCGTCCTCTTTGCCACCTACTCCGCCCTAATTGGAGAAAGTCAGGCAGGTGGGCAGCATCGCACACGCCTCCGTCAGATCCTGCAGTGGTGCGGCGAGGCCTTTGATGGTGTGGTATCCTGTAGCCAAGGGCGGGTGGGTGGGTGGGTGTGTGGATGGATGGGTGGATGGATGGGTGGATGGATGGGTGGGTGGGTGGGTGGATGGGTGGGTGGATGGATGGATGGATGGATGGATGGATGGATGGATGGATGGATGGATGGATAGGCAGGGCTGAAGGACTAGGGCCTGAATGTGAGGGCCTCAGCCTGGGAGGGGAGAGCAACAGAGGGACCCAAGACGAGACCGAGGCCTTGGTGTGCACTGACCAGCGGCTGGGAGCTCATCATCAACAATGCTGACACGCTTCTTTCAGAGTAGAGGACAGGACCTGCAAGCCATCTTTCCCCCGAGGCTTCCCGATCTGGTCCTAGCAAGCCTGTAGGCGACACCCTGTAGTGTTAGGAGCCTCTGGCTGACACTGTGGGACAGAGCTTGTCCATGTGGGGATCCTCAGTGTGGGTAGCCCTCAGGACCCTGGGCACAGTGTGTGCCCATGGTGAATGACACTAGCCCTACAGGTATATGCCAGGGGTGGTGTCCCTGAGGCCCACAGGGTCTGTGCTCCTGTGGCAAGGAACTCTACCCGGCATGCATTCCTTCTGTCCTTCCCTTCTTGGTATTATGGTTGCCGTGCAGTCTTACATTGGTACCTCTGCTAAGCCCCCCTCCTGCCCCCCCCTCTCAGGGGCTGCCTTGACAGGCGGGAGCAGCCAGGCCTGGCTTATGTGGTTACTGAGGAGGACCTCAAAGCTCCCTGCCTGCTAGATAAGCATGCACCCCCCAGAGCCACATTGCCCCCCAGCACTTTTTAACACACTCCAGATAGCATGTGTCCTCAGATGCCCCGCCCTCCTCTCGGTGACACATACTGCCACTCCTGTGCCTCTGACACGTTGTGGGGTATTTGACCAGGGACACCTTCCACCCTTCTGGAATATTCCTTAACCCGGCATATCCCAGATTGTGTTCGACGAGTGCCACAAAGCCAAGAATGCCAGTTCCACCAAGATGGGCAAGGCCGTGCTGGACCTGCAAAACAAGCTGCCCCAGGCCAGGGTCGTATACGCCAGCGCCACAGGTGGGCTGGGAGCAGCAGCTGAGCTGGGTGGGCGAGCTCATCACGTGTGTGGCCTCTTGAGGTGTCACCCACACAGGGAAGGAGGGAGGGAGGGTGTCCTGACAGCCGGGCAGGGGACTTAGATCTATTTCGTTTCTACTTGGCACCTGGAGCAAATATGGAACTTGCTGTCCCCAAGCCTCACTTCCCTTTGCTGGTGGGCTCAGGCTGACCTTGGGTACTCCTGACATGTTCCCTGCTTCCAACTGTAGGTGCCTCCGAGCCCCGCAACATGATCTACATGAGCCGCCTGGGCATCTGGGGAGAGGGCACACCCTTCCGGACCTTTGAAGAGTTCCTGCATGCCATTGAGAAGAGGTGAGACTCGATCTGCCTGTGGGGGGTGACCGTCCCTGCCAGGCATGCCCAGGGCCCTTAAAACATACATCCCAGGGCCGGGCGGTGGTGGCGCAGCCTTTAATCCCAGCACTTGGGAGGCAGAGGCAGGAGGATCTCTGTGAGTTCAAGACCAGCCTGGTCTACAGAGCCAGTTCCAGAACAGCCTCCAAAGCCACAGAGAAACCCTGCCTCAAAAAACAAAACAAAAAAACCCATGCATCCCATCCTGTCTCTCCCCGGCACCTCCTGTACCCTCAGAAAGATGAGCCCCTTCTCATGAGTCCTCTGCTCTGCTCCCCTCTGGCCACCAAGTCTCTCCAGGCCCAGCCCCATGCCTCCCTCATGGCCACAGGGCCTCTGCTTCCTGCCTCTTTCCTGCCTGCGATGTCCACCCTGTGCCCAGTGGGACACAGTGCTCAGAGGTCCTGTCTGTCTGCAGGGGAGTGGGCGCCATGGAGATTGTGGCCATGGACATGAAAGTCAGTGGCATGTACATCGCACGCCAGCTCAGCTTTTCAGGGGTCACCTTCCGCATCGAGGAGATCCCGCTGTCCCCCGCCTTCGAGCAGGTCTATAATCGGGCAGCCCGGCTGGTAAGCTGGGGTGATTGTCTGCAGGGAGCCTTGTCCCTCCTCCTGCATCTGTGTAGCAGAGTTACGCCATCCACACGTGCCGCACATCTCTGTAGCAGGGAGCAGATGCTTTCTGGAGCCCACTGTCTACATTGGTTCAGCTGGAGCAATTGTTCTTTTCACTGTTACCTTTTTTTTAAACTTATTTTTATTACATATAGTGTTCTGTCTGCATATTTGCCTACAGGCCAGCAGAGGGCACCAGATCTCATTGCAGATGGTTGTGAGCCACCATGTGGTTGCTGGGAATTGAACTCAGGGCCTCTGGAAGAGCAGTCAGCTTCCTAGCCATCTCTCCAGCCCTAAAATGTCCAGTGTGGGCAAGACCACTCAGTAGGAAAGAGCAGACCGGCTGTGGCCACACACTGCAGTCAGCCATGCATTCAGGAGGCTGGGGCCAGCCTGGACTACATAGGAAAACCCGTCTCCCAACATAACAAAAGGTCACAATGCATGGTTCTGGCAGAGCCATGCTTTGGAAACCAACAGGGACATCTATGGTGCCTGACCCTGTGGCCTCCGGGAAAGATGCTGTACCCAGAGACCCTAGGACAAGTGTGGCTCTCCTGAGTGGGGTGGGTGTAGCTCCCGGCAGGGACTCAGGACCCTGCAGAGCCTGGGATTCACCACAGACGATGATTGGGCCTGGTGACCCTGCTGCCCGGGGACCTTGATTTCACCTGTTCTGTAGAAACTCTGACACTGGATGGGGGTACAAGTCTGTCATCCCAGCACTTGGGAGGCAGAGGCAGGAGGATCAGAAATCAGTTACCTTTGGCTACATGTCCAACTCAAAGCCAGCCTAGGGTACATTAAGCCTGCGTCCCGAAGCCCCGTTCCCCAGTGAGAGAGGCTTTTAAATTGGACATGAGATTATTTTTCGTTTCTTTGGTTGGTTGGTTTTCTGGCTATCCTAGACCTCAACTCTGTAGACTGGGCTGACCTCAAACTCAGAGATTCGCCTGCCTCTGCCTCCAGAGTGCTCAGATTACTGGCAACTACTTGAGGTTCTTAATCAAATGACAAAAACAGCCTCTTACAGCCCCATGCTCTGTTTTGAACATTGTCTGACATCTTTGTATGTGAACGTGGCGTGTTTTGATCGCATCCGCCCCTGCCCCGTGCCTTCGCTGTGACACCCTCACTGCACACTTTGGCTGTCCCCGTGCTGCCTGCCTGCCCCCAGAGCCCCTTGCCTGCCCCCAGAGCCCCTTGCCTGCCCCCAGAGCCCCTTGCCTGCCCCCAGAGCCCCTTGCCTGCCCCCAGAGCCCCTGCCTGCCCCCAGAGCCCCTGCCTGCCCCCAGAGCCCCTGCCTAATCTGGCTGGCCGGCTCAGCACAGGCCTTGCTCTTACAGTGGGCCGAAGCCCTGACCGTGTTCCAGCAGGCGGCCGACTGGATCGGCCTGGAGTCTCGCAAGTCCCTGTGGGGTCAGTTCTGGTCGGCACACCAGCGCTTCTTCAAGTACCTGTGCATCGCAGCAAAGGTGCAGAGGCTGGTCGAGCTGGCCAAGCAGGAGCTGAACCAGGGCAAGGTGAGCGCCACGGCCAGCCCTGGGGGAGGGGTGGCCCCTTGCCTGCTGCCTGCCCTGGTGGTCTGCGGTGGTGGGACGCCAGGAGGCCAGGCAGGTTTCCCGGGGCACCTGATAGGATGGGCAGTCGCCTGAAGCCCCCCTCAGACGCTCCGTCCCCGCAGTGTGTGGTCATCGGGCTGCAGTCCACAGGCGAGGCGCGCACGCGGGAAGTACTGGATGAAAACGAGGGCCGCCTGGACTGCTTCGTCTCTGCTGCAGAGTGAGTAATGCGAGTGGCGGGACACACACCAGGCACGGGCCGCCGTTGACGCGTCTCCCTGGTGCCCACCTTGCTGTGTCCTATTGCTGCCCCTTGCCCCTCAGCAGTTTGGGAACAGCCACCCGGGGGCAGGACCAGACAGGAATCTTGTGGGTGGCCCCTGGGTCTGGAGGGCACAAGGTAGTGCCATTTCAACACAGTTCCATGGGGTCGTCAGGCCTGGTGCTGTGGCCCCCACAGGCCTACACGGCCCTGTCAGTCCCCCAGTGCGGCTCCCTCCTGCCTGGGAATCCTCTCCTTGATGCTGCATAACGGGGCTGGCCCCCATACTGAGCACCCTTTTCCTTGCAGAGGTGTCTTCCTGTCCCTGATTCAGAAGCACTTCCCCTCCACCCGGAAGAGGCGTGACCGGGGAGGCGGGAAGAGGAAAAGTAAGCCCAGCAGGCTCCCCTGGCTTTGCGCTCCACTCCACACCCCACCCCAGAGCTGCCTGTGGGCTATCCTGATCTAGTGTCCCGCACCAACCAGCTGGGAGTCTGCACAGCACGCAGAGAAGCAGAGTCTGGGGCAAAACCCCTGCAGGCTCCAGCCTCAGGCAGGCCCCCTGGCCTGTGCAGCCAGCCCCCACTAGCCAAGGCCCTGGGCACCCCAGGGCCACCATTGACCCCAGTTCCTGCCCCACTTGCTGGCAGGAGGGCAGCCTCTGTGCGTGCCAACCGTGTGTGTGAAGGACAGCGCAGGGCTTGTGCTGCAGTCCCCAAGACGTCCGTAGACCCCTCCCTCCTGGCAGCCACAGCACGGGCACACGAGGGCCCTGGACTGGTCCCTTGACGGGGCTGTGACACCCTCTGAGCCCCTTGGTAGTCCAGCCATGAGGCCAGCCAGAGCTGAGGATGCGGACAGTGTCTCCATCCACCTCCCCTGCCCAGAAGGGGGCCCAACACACGGCTGACCACACAGGCCCCTCCCTCCCTGCCGCTCCGGCCTCTGGCACTTGTGCGGCCCCCCCACCCCATGAGCTGAGCCGACCCCTCCCACAGGGCGGCCTAGGGGCCGCGGCGCCAAGGCTCCCAGAACGGCACTGGAGGCGGCAGGAGTCATCCGAATTAGTGACGGCAGCAGCACGGACTCGGATGCCGGCCTGGACAGCGACTTCAATTCGTCCCCAGAGTCGCTGCTGGATGACGATGTGGTCGTCGTGGATGCCCCGATGCTCCCCACAGATGACCGAGGTGAGCCTGTCACCAGCCACATGGCGTCCTTCCCCACACGATACAGATGGGGAAACGGAGGCTCACAGCCAAGGTCAGGGCCATACTTCAAACACAGGCAGTGACTCGGTGCCTGGCGTCCACCCCCTGCTGCGACTCTCAGCCTGGCCCTGCCGGCCACTTCACTGGCGCTCTCCCTGCCCCCAGGTCCCCTGTACCCGCTTCAGAGAGACCTGCAGGGCCCTGGTGTCCTGGAACGTGTGGAGCGGCTGAAACAGGGCCTCCTGGCCAAGGTGCGCACACTGGGCCGCGAGCTGCCTGTGAACACGCTGGACCAGCTCATCCACCAGCTGGGGGGACCCGAGCGCGTGGCCGAGGTGAGCTTGGCAGCCACAGACTGCTCTGAGGTCAGCCTGGGGACACAGCCGCGTTACAGGCTAGCCTGAGCTAAGTGAGAGGGGGCCTTACCAGCAGACGAGAGCACTGCCCGCCCCCGCCCCTCGAGGACCTGATGGCAGTAGTGGCAGGGATCCTCGTGGCTGCTGAGGCCACACTGGACACCAGGTCCCTGCACAGGGCCCCAGTGGAGCCCCGTGTACCTCAGACGGCCACCGCCCTGACAGCCAGTGGCTCCTTTCCCAACCACAGATGACCGGAAGAAAAGGCCGTGTGGTGTCCAGACCCGATGGGTCCGTGGTCTTTGAGTCCAGAGCAGAGCAGGGCCTGTCCATCGACCATGTGAACCTCAGGGAGAAACAGCGCTTCATGAGCGGCGAGAAGGTGGGGCCAGGGCTGCGGGAGCTCCAGCTCCGCTCTGCCAGGGGATGGCTGCGGGTGGGGGCAGGGCGTGTGTGCCTGTACCCCTGAGCGGAGTAGCCCTGGGGACCCGAGCTGAACAAGAGGACGGCCCCCAACACCCTCCCCCCCCCCCCCCCCGCAGCTGGTAGCCATTATCTCTGAGGCCTCCAGCTCAGGGGTCTCCCTGCAAGCCGACCGCCGAGTGCACAATCAGCGACGCCGGGTGCACATGACCCTGGAGCTGCCCTGGAGCGCAGACCGCGCCATTCAGCAGTTTGGTGAGGCCCCAGTCCCGCCCCAGGCGGTCTTTCTCCCTGACCTCCACCCAGTCTCTTAGAGCCTTTTTTGGCCTCAGGCCGCACCCACAGGTCCAACCAGGTCTCAGCACCCGAGTACGTCTTCCTCATCTCGGAGCTGGCTGGGGAGCGCAGGTTCGCTTCCATTGTGGCCAAGCGGCTGGAGAGCCTGGTGAGCAGGCGGGGCCTGGGGCTGGGGGCGGGGCCTCGCTGGGCGGGGCCTTGGGTGGACCGGGGAATGCCGGAGTCTGAACCACACATGGTCCTGGGTCACCCTGGCAGGGTGCGCTGACCCACGGAGATCGCCGGGCCACCGAGTCCCGAGACCTGAGCAAGTACAACTTCGAGAATAAGGTACGCGGAGGGCAGGCGGCGGTGGGGAGGCCGCGCCATCTGCCCCGCCCCACTCATGCCGCCCGCCCCCCCACAGTACGGCACCCGAGCTCTCAGCCGCGTCCTCACCACGATCCTGGGCCAGACGGACAACAGGGTGCCTCTGCCCCAGGGCTACCCGGGAGGGGACGCCGCCTTCTTCCGGGGTAAGCCCGGGCTCGTGAGGCTTTCTGGGAGGCGGGGACTACAGCGGGCTGGGTCCTTCTAGCGACAGGGTTTGGCAGGGTTGGCCCCTGGGATCCAAGGACCAGCGGCTGGTTTTCCCTCGCAGATATGAAGCAGGGCCTGCTGTCTGTGGGCATCGGCGGCCGGGAGTCGCGCACAGGCTGCTTGGATGTGGAGAAGGGTGAGTCCGGGGAGTACCCGCAAGGTGGCGGTGCAGGGATGCAGGCGGCCGGGAGGGAGGCGGCGGCCTGAGACTCAGCTCTGCCCACAGACTGCTCCATCACCAAGTTCCTGAACCGCATCCTGGGGCTGGAGGTGCACAAGCAGAATGCCCTGTTCCAGTATTTCTCCGACACTTTCGATCACCTCATCGAAATAGACAAGAAGGAGGGCAGATACGACATGGGCATTCTGGGTAAGCTGCTCGGCAGCCATGCGGGATCCATCTGAGCCCCTGGTGGAGTCCAGGGGACAATGCCTCATATGTGTGAAGTCCACTGTCTAGACAGACAGACAAGGGCCACAGACTGGTCCAAGCTGCTGTCATAGCAACAGCGTGCTCACCTGGAGTTCACACTTGAGACACACTGCAGCTATCCCCCTGCCTCCCGCCCCAAATCTTAATGCTTTCAGGAAGCCTGTCTTTGTGTCAGCTGCAGGGAGAGCGGGCCTGGGCTGCATGCCGCTACTGTAGAGCTAAGGGTTAGACCCTGAAGCAAACAGGCATTTGTGAGTGTCAGTGGCACCTGCCTGTCCGCCCAGCACCGGTAGAGGCAGGGTTAGGTCAAGACAGCGAGCGTGACAGGCAAAAGCACTTGGCTGCCTTCCGAGCACAAATCTCACCCCACCCCACCCACGCTACAACTGCCTCTCACACCCTCTTCTGGTCTCCGTGGGCATTGCATGCACATGTGTGGATACATTGAAAACCTTTTTTTTAAAAAGACAGCCATCCTTACCAGCAGACACAGTCCCTCTGGGCAGCTGTACACAGCAGGACACCAGGTGCCCTAGACCAGATGTTTTCCTGCTACCCACCCACAGAACAGCTGGTCCCAGGGTTTTGGTTCCTCTGCCCACTTAGGGGGTCACCTCTGGGTGTATCAGAGAATCGGCTCCCACAGCCTGGCGTCTGACCACCTACCTCCTCCTCAGACCTAGCCCCTGGTATCAACGAGATCCATGAAGAAAGCCAGCAGGTGTTCCTGGCACCTGGGCATCCACAGGATGGGCAGGTGGTCTTTTACAAGGTGAGCAAGGAGGCAGCCAGCCCTGGCCTGGCTCCAGTCCTGAACCTGCTAACACACCCCTGTCCTGCAGATCAGCGTGGACCGCGGCATGAAGTGGGAAGAGGCGTTCACCAGGTCTCTGGAGCTGAAGGGCCCCTACGACGGCTTCTACCTCTCCTACAAGGTGAGTGGGCCCACGCGGGGTAGGTGCCCCGCCAGCCACCTGCCCAGAGACCCTGATGGCCTCACCACTCTGGGGCCCTAGGTACGAGGCAACAAGCCCAGCTGCCTCCTGGCGGAACAGAGCCGCGGCGAGTATTTCACCGTGTACAAGCCCAACATCGGCCGCCAGAGCCAGCTGGAGACCCTGGACAGCCTGTGCCGCAAGTTCCACCGGGTATGGAAAGACCTACCCTCCCATTTTGGCTGGGAACACGTGGGAGTCCCTGAGCCTCAGTTTCCCTGCTGACTTACGGGCCTGCCTCCCCAGGTCACTGCGGATGAGGCCCGGGAGCCCTGGGAGAGCAGCTACGCCCTGTCGCTGGAGCACTGCAGCCACGCCACCTGGTGAGGCCTGGGCGGGAATCCACCGGGAGAGGGCGGAGCCGGGCGCCCAGTGTCTGGGCCTTGTGGGCTGGGACAGTGCTCCCCGCGAGCTGACCAGCGCCCCCGGTGCAGGAACCAGCGCTGCCGACTGGCACAGGACGGCAAGGGCTGCGCCCAGGGCCTGCGTCTCTGCCACCACTACATGCTGTGCGGGGCGCTGCTGCGCGTGTGGGGCCGCATCGCCGCCGTCATGGCGGATGTCAGCAGCAGCAGCTACCTACAGATCGTGCGCCTCAAGACCAAGGACAAGAAGAAGCAAGTGGGTGAGTGGGGGCGGGCGGCCGTGGGGTCCCCAGAAAAAGGGTTCCCAGGTGTGGTCCCTGGCCGGACCCGACTGCGTGTCTGCACCGCAGGCATCAAGATCCCCGAGGGCTGCGTTCGCCGTGTGCTGCAGGAGCTGCAGCTGATGGACGCCGAGGTGAAGCGCCGCAGCACCCAGGGGCGGGCCGCGCGCCCCCCCACCCCACGCGCGATCGCGCTTCCCTGCGGTCCTGGTGAGGTGCTGGACTTGACCTACAGTCCCCCAGCCGAGGCTTTCCCGCCGCCTCCACGCTTCTCCTTCCCCTCGCTGCCGCTCCCAGACCCCAGCTCTCTGATGCTGGGTGCCAGCGACCCTTCAACCAACCCCGCGGAGCTGGCGCACCAGGGCTGCGACATCAACTTCAGGGAGGTGTTGGAGGACATGCTCCGCTCTCTGCGCGCGGGGCCCGCTGAGACCCCTGCGCCTCTGGTGGGCATGGGCGGCGGCACGGAGCGGCAAAGCGTCATCCACTTCAGCCCGCCCTTCCCGAACTCGTAGGCAGCCACCGTGGCCCCTGGAGTACAGCTGTCCGGTGGGCAGCAAGACCCACCAGCTCCTCTGCGAGCAGAGAAGTTCCCATAACTACTGAGGGCGCCCGGCCGCAGTGCCTTCCCCTACAGCCAGCCTACTGCGGGGCCGTGCCCAGCCTGGAGGCCGTGCGGTTCAGTGGCCCCAGAGAGCTGGTAACTCAGGAAATCAGGTGCTGAGGCCCCGCTGTCTATGGGGGCTCCACGGGGCAGACCCCGTTAATATATGCAATCCCCTGCTCCCTAAATTATTGTCACCCGCCCCTTCCCAGCCCCGGAATCCGTGGGCAACCGGCGGGCCCTGGTTTCTATGTATTTATAACTCGTGTACATATGTAAAGGTCTTTTTTAAATATATGCGTCTTTTGCCTACTTCCCAGTGTGCTGCGGCTTTCGAGTCAGTGGGGGGAGACCTGAGGGTCACAGAGCAACCCTGCTGGACAGCAGACAGGTGACAGGACCAGTCGGCAAACCTGTCCCCTTGTTGGCTGGTGGCAGCAGGCTGGGGAGATGGAATTCACCCAGTAGCTGCTGCAGTTGGGGCTGGGGCTGAGGATCTGGGTTCCCTGGCCTTGCAGAGGAGTTAGGGAGGAGCGGGTCCTCAGAAGAATAGCAGCAAAGCCAAGGGAGGTGGCCATCTGCCGGCACCTAGTTCACAGTCATGGGGTCACTTAGCCTGGCAGCACAGCCCACAGGAAGAGTGGTGGCCATGCAAGTGCTCCAGGACCAGTCCATCAGAGAGCCTCTAAGACTCCCAGACCCACCATGTCACCACAACTAGGCTCCAGAGGCCCAGGCTCAACCACACCCACTGTGGGTGCTCCCTAGATGGCCACTCTGTTCACACACACACACACACACACACACAACCCTCACAGAGAATGAGGGACAGCTCACACACACACACACACACACACACAACCCTCACAGAATGAGGGACAGCTTACACACACACACACACAACCCTCACAGAGAATGAGGGACAGCTTCCACACACACACACACAACCCTCACAGAGAATGAGGGACAGCTCACACACACACACACACACACACAACCCTCACAGAGAATGAGGGACAGCTTACACACACACACACACACACACACACACAACCCTCACAGAGAATGAGGGACAGCTTCCACACACACACACACACACAACCCTCACAGAGAATGAGGGACAGCTCACACACACACACACACACACACACACACAACCCTCACAGAGAATGAGGGACAGCTTACACACACACACACACACACACACACAACCCTCACAGAGAATGAGGGACAGCTTACACACACACACACACACACAACCCTCACAGAGAATGAGGGACAGCTCACACACACACACACACACACACACACACAACCCTCACAGAGAATGAGGGACAGCTTACACACACACACACACACACACACACACAACCCTCACAGAGAATGAGGGACAGCTTACACACACACACACACACAACCCTCACAGAGAATGAGGGACAGCTTACACACACACACACACACACAACCCTCACAGAGAATGAGGGACAGCTCACACACACACAGACACACACACAACCCTCACAGAGAATGAGGGACAGCTCACACACACACAGACACACACACAACCCTCACAGAGAATGAGGGACAGCTTACACACACACACACACACACACAAAACCCTCACAGAGAATGAGGGACAGCTTACACACACACACAGAATGAGGGACAGTTTACAGGTCACCATCGTCTTAGGAACAGCCCTGCCCATACTCAGGTCCTCCCACTGGCCTGAGCAGAGCCTCAGGGATTACAGGGAACTGTGACCAGCTGACCTGGACTGCAATCTGCAGAGTCCTGGGGCATAGGCAGGGCCTGCTCGTCCCCAGTGCACTTGCCCAACTGCTGACATGAAGACACAGCACATTTCTACATTTTATTCCCACAAGGCAGCCAGGTGAAGCTTGAGCCCAGGGCCACAGGCCTCCGAACCTTCCTCCGGCGAGGATGCACGCCAGGTCCTCGGGACTGCCCCACCAGCAGGCTGGTTTTCAGGCAGACCGTCATGAGTGCCGGGGTGGAAGGTTCCAGGGGTCACGGGGCAGGGGGGCTCAGTGGGGTCACACACTTGTAGGGCTAGAGATAGCACGGCAGGTCCTTCTCTATCACCTGTGGGGAAACAAGGTCAGACTGACCCCCCCCCCAACAACCACACACAGCCCAGCCCTGGCTCACCCCAGGCTGATCTGAGGCCTTACCAGGGGCTCTTCCATGGGGCCGTAGCGTTTCATCACGCAGCCGTTCTTATCAATGAGAAACTGGAACAGAGAGAGCATGGTGACAGGGTATGGGGGAGTTGGGTCCTGCCCTGTCCCAGTCCTGTCCCCATGGTCGTCTGTCCGACCGTCCATCTGTTTGTGTGTCTGTGTGTGTGTGTGTGTTCGCCAATAGTATGTCCCTCTTACCTTGGTAAAGTTCCATTTGATGGCGCTGTGAGAAAGAGAAAAAGAAGGGTTAGGAGTGGTACCAGCCAGGACCCGAGGTGCACACCTTTAACCCCAGCACTCAGGAGGCAGAGGTAGGGTCCAATTCCTGGCACCCATGTCACAATGCCTAACAAGTTTGTGACTCCAGTTCCAGGAAATCACAAGCCCTCTTCTGACCTCTGAGGGCACCAGGCATGCACGTGATACAGACAGGCAGACAAAACCAAACACAAAATGAAAACCATCTGGGGAGGGGAAAAGATGGGGGGTGGCAACATCAGTGCTACAACCTACCAAACCTCTGTAACTCCAGGCCAGGTGGTGTACATAAATACACTCAGGCAAAGCAATGCATGCACATAAAATACAAATAAATAACTCTGAGGCCAGGCCAGGTGGCCTACACCTTTAATCCTAGCACTTTGGAGGCCCGGCAGGCAGACCTCTGTGAGTTTCACACAAGCCAGAACATCACAATGAGACCGTGCCTCAAAACAAACCAAACAGGCACCTGCTCCCACCCTGCTCCAGAGTCATCTGGCTGCCCCTGCAGGCGCCCCCAGGGACACTCACTTTCCCAGCATGCCCCTGCCCTTGGGCTGGACCTTCATCCATTTCCACAGTGGGTGGGCATCATCCCCGTTTACACAAATCTTGCTGTACATGTCAAACTTGACATCGTAGCCGGCTGCAAACTCCTTGATTTCTTGATTACTTCCTGGTTCCTATGGGTTGCAATAGACTGACTGGTAAGGTGCACACCACTACACACAAAGAAAGAGACAGACAGACGGACGCACACGAACACACACACACACACACACACACACACACACACACACACACACACACACTGCAGCGTCCCCCACTCCGGACCGTTGCCTGGGGATAGCCACGCACCTGCTTCCCGAACTGGTTGCAGGGGAAAGCCAGGATCCGTAAACCACACTCAGCGTATCGGGCATGCAGATCGACTAGCTGAGTGTAGTTTACGTCGGTTTTGCCTCATTGCGAGGCCACGTTGGTGACGATGCACACGAAACCCCTGGGAGGAAATCAGTAGGAATGAGCCCACGGTCAGGGGAGCCCATTTTTTTTCAGACTGGCTTTGCACCACCCACATAACCAGGCACCCACCTGTACTTATCCAGGCAAATCATGTGACCGTCGATGTCCTTGGCTGAGAATTCGTGCATGGAGCGCGCACAGCGCCAATCATCACGGGATGCGCACTGCAAAACAGGGAAACTGAGTATTCCATCCCAGGTCTCGCAGCAGGAGAGAGAGTCCCTTATTAATGAATACCAAAAAAAAATGCCCTGCGGCTGGTGAGTCAAGGCTCCTCCCCCTTCCGTACTTCTGCCCCCTTCAGGTCGTCCTGAAAGGAGCTGGTAGCCAGAAGACGCTACCAGGGAAGGGGGCGGTAGGGGTTCCCCCTGGCCTCACACCAAGCCCAGGAGCTCGGCGCAGCTGCTGTCCTGGGGAGGCTCCTGCAGCAGAGGCTGGGGATTGAAGGGCCCGGGAAGCGGAGCCGTCTGGCGACGGCGTGCCCTCCTGCGGCGGCACCCGCGAGCTTTCCTCCTCCTAGGAGTGCCCGGACGCTTCCGAGGACTCCGGCGTCGAGGTTCCCTTCGTCGCCGGCCTCCCGGGTACCCGACACGCTGCCTGCAGCGTCCCGGGTTGCCGGCGGCCGCACGGCCCATACCTGCGAGTCTGGGCGTCCAGAGCGCACCGCGGGGACAATGAGCCGGTAGCCAAGGTGCTGCCCATTGTGACGCACCAGGCCCGGCGGGGCGCCGGACCAAGCCAGAACCCTCTATGTGGCCCCGACATGGATTCCCATCCCCGGGGGCCCTCCCCAGACAAGGCCCGACCTTGTTCTCTCTGCCCCGGGGATGCCACCCGGAGTTCGCCTTCCCACCTGGGTGCCCCCTAGTCTAACTAACAGACCCCGCGACCCCCGATCTCCGCCCCGACACGGTCACCCGACCCGGACCCTGCCCCCACCCACGACCGCGGGTCCCGGGTGCGCTCACCATGGTGCCCGCAAGGCCAGGCGCAGCCAGAGCCCCGCACAGCAGCGCTGGTTTCAGCAAGCGGCTCAGACGGCCCCAGTTCATCGCGGCGGCCGGAGCCAGAGCTCCTCCCCTCACGCAGCCGACCAATGGACTTGCGATGCAGAGTCTGGCTTGCCCGCCCTCGGCCACGCCCACTGACGTCTATTATTGGCAGGGTGCGCCTGCGCCGAAGACGCAGCCAATCGGAAGCCGGAATGAAGAGGTGGCGTAGCAGGGTGGGGCTTGCGGGTTTGTTGTTGTCAGCAACTGCGCGTGCTCAGTTGTGGCACGGCCGGGGAAACCGGAGCTCAGGGGGCGCTGGCTGCGCGCTGGACAGTTAGTTATCCGCGAGGTGCTGCAGGTTGCCAGGGAGCTTAGGGGAGCCCCTGGGCATAGAAAACGAGGCAAAGCCACCCCCTAAACAGCCCCTTTGACCACAGGAGCTTCCTATTTCCACTGGAGACAAGAGTCTCGTGTAGCCCAGGCTATCCTTGAACCCTCCTCGCCAAAGCACTCCCACGGCCCCTCCGCTTCTCTGTTCTTGTCAGAGCTGGTGTCATGTCGTCCAGACTGCCCTCGAGCTCACTCTGGAGCCAGGACAGCCTTACCCCTGACCCTCCTCAGAGCTGGGATGACAGATTAACCCGGCCTTGCGGTGCTGGGGGCGGAACCCGGGGCCGGGAGCTTGCTCAGTGAGAGCTTCCAGCCCAGACAGAGCTTTCCCTAACTCAGCGATCCTCCCGCCATAGACTCCTGAGTGCTAGGGTAACAGGCCTATGACAATCCAGTCCCTGCAGATGCCAAGGAGGACTGTACATACTGAACTAGTGAA